GCCGGGAAGGGCCGCCCGGCTCTGCCTCTGAGCGCGGCGCGGGCTGCGCGCGGGGGCCGTGGCCGGGAGGCGGGGACACGGTCGGGCGGCGGCCGACGCAATCCGCCCAGGAAATGGGTGGATTTTTCCTCTCCGCTCTGGCTCCCCGCCGCCCCCTGGCTGCTGGCAGCGAGATCTGCAAACCCCCGTCGCCGAGGAGTTGGGATAGGGTGACCCGGCAGCCAAGACGGACCACCGTCACCCAAGTCATAAAAGTCCGCCCGCGGCAGGGCGGCGGCCTAAGCTGCACGGATTGGCCGCTGCCCTCTCACCCTTACGGCCGACAGCTGAGCGAGGCCCAGGCACCCCTCTGAGACACCCCCTCCCAGGGCCCGCTGCTCCCCGACTGCTGGAGACCTACTGCGCTCCCTGCCAGCCTGGGCCGCCCCTTGAAACCCAGCCGGGAGGGCGAGCTCCTGGCCCGCTCCGAAAGCAGCCCTTCATGGGGGTCTCCAGCCCCAGCACTGGGGGAAGGGAAAGGAGTGTAAGAGGAAAGACCCTCCTAGGACCCCGGGAAGCCAGGTGCTCTAAGGCCTTTGGGAGGAAGGGAATCTCCTGGCAGCTGCCAACACCGACCAGTGTGGGCTCCTGGGTGTGGGTGTGAGGGGTGGGTGCACGCAGGAGGGGCCCCAGGAGTGTGCACACAGCGGAGGAGCTGGGTGCGGGTTTGGGGCTCCGGCAGGGGTGGGGAGCTAAAGGGTCCCCACCCATGAGGAGTGTGATGTGGGTGGGGCCGGTCAGGGACCTGGGGTCTGTGGTTGGGGGCAGGAGTGGGTATCCTCACTGCTTCCTGTGTCCCTGTGGGGGGACTGGAGTCTGGTGCCCAGGCAGAGGGGCAGGGCAGGCTGGCACAAGCCCCCAGCCCTCTGCAGCATCAGCATCAGGACACGTGTAAGCCTCCTCAGAAGCCAGCCTGACTCGTCAAACCCCTTAATAGGGCTTTAGAATGTGCAGGAGCCTTCTGACCCAAGATGAAAGACACATCCTCCAGGCCTCCATTGAGCCTTCTCAGCCATTGGGAAGGAAAGAATTGTCCAGATCACTCACCAAGCTCTTTTCTGCCTGGGCAATAATTAATCTCCCTTCCTGGTTGGGGATTGAAAGATGGGGTTGGGAGGAAGGAGCCGGCCTTCCTGGTGTCCACCTAAGATGGACCCCACCTTCCTAGGGCTTCTCTCTGTGCTCTGTACCCACTTGTAGAAGGGACTCAATGACAGCCAGAGTGTTGGGTGCGAGACCCACCGGCTGAAGGGGCCCCTCGGATTTGTTTTCCTGATGAATACTCGGATCTGTGGCAGCACCTAGGTCGCAGGCGGCGAATTCCAACAGTTGGGGCAGGACGCCATCTCCCAGTGCCAGCAGGTACTGCAGGCTCTGCCCCAGCAGCCCTGATCCACGAGCACAAGGCACCCCTGCGGGGCCGGGAGCCCTCATCCAGGCTCCGCCTCCTCTCTCTTTCAACGAGGATTTGACACAGATTCAGGGCCACAAGTGGAGCCATCGAAATCACTCACACCCGCTTCCCACGGCAGGAGGACAACGACCACTTATTTTGTTGGGACAACTTCAAATCCAGCCCAATCCAGTCCACAAAACTCGCACGCCGGCCGTCTCAGAAGCTGCAGGCATTTGTCACCTACTCAGCACAGGATGTGGGGTACCCTGTGCTGCAGACCCCACATCAAAACCAAGGCACGGACACGGTGTGCCGTAAACCCCAGGACAGAAGCAACACCGAGATGAGAGTAGCAGATTCCTGGGCCCTTGCAGGGCACCCTGCGTGAACTTCCCTACAACCAACCCAGTAGACGCCATTGCGGGAGAGGCATCTCAGAATGGTCACTCCCTGTGCGGACTCTGGAGCCGCAGCTTGGGGGTGAGCCCTGGCTGTGCCACTTACTGGCACTGAGACCCTGACCGAGGGGATTAGCCTATCTGTGCCTCAGTTTCCCCATCTGTAAAATGGGTTTAATAACAGTAACCTTCCTCTCTGGGGTGTTGTGAGGATTAAGTGAGTTAATGCAGGAGCTGGCTTGGTGCCCAATAAGAGAGCCAGTCCTTGTCATCCCCGCTTTGCAGAACACCAAACAAGCTCAGAGAGAACCCTCAGGTGAGCGACTGGTGAGAACACGAGGGGCAGGGCTGGGCTCCGATGCCCCCAGAGACCTCTGCTGCCTCTCCTAAGAGCTGCTTTTGGTTAAGACCATCCACAAGAGATGCTGTGATACAGATGGACAATGTGATACAGATGGACAATGTGATACAGATGGACAATGTGGAGGAGGTATGGTTGGACACGGAAACCACTCCCTGCAGCCAGAGCCCAGTTCTAGGAAGGTGACACTCCAGGTGGGCAGACACAAAGAATAAAAAAAGAAAAAACAACTCTCCTGTTTTGAGGAACTTCTGATTTGATTTCACGTCAGTAATGTCCCGCAA